AACACCCAGGGCCAGATGCCCCGACACGGAACCAGACCTCAGCGATCATGCATCCTACCCTTGCCTGGGCCCGGCTGGTACCTCCGCCGTACCCTCCGTACCTGACTGCACTACCCGCCCGCGCATAGTGTACCGTACGGATACACGTTCCAGGCAAGCCGACCCGCGTTGGCGCTGCGCTCTTAGTGTTCAGCACACCAGACGAGACCGGCACCAGACCACTCCAGCCGACGTCCATGAGGAATGCTTGGCCTGCGTTGAGAAAGAAAGAGAACACCACCGACGACAGCAGACGTTGCTAAGTAGCGCCTGCCGTCGCCTCTGTCTCACGGCCTCGACCTCAACGGACTGGAGCTTGAATCTCGACCACCGCTACTGCTCACGTTATGCATGGAGATGGAGAGAAGAGGGGCCTCTAGAGACAACAACCTGCCAGCACCTGACGGAAATGGCGTCTGTTCGCCCCGGAAGCGTCTCCATATCATGCCGGCCGCAACACGTCCCTCCCCAGCGGTGCCTTCGACCACCCTGCAGTCCGCTAATGCCTCTGCCACCCGAACTCTGCTGGCCAACCTTCCACCCCAACCGATGGATTCAAGAGCTCTGTCACAAGGCATATCAGCAGAGGGCCAGAGGCCAGCTGCCTCTTCGACTTTGCCTGATTCTCTTCACCGATGAACCACCCCTGCCCCGACGCTAAAGTCCCCGGACTGCCAACTGACATGCTGCCCGGATTCCCGCCGTGGCCGCCAAAACTTCCTTTCCAGGCACCCAGGCCAGAAGGCCGCTTGTCCGTCCCCAGATTGCTGGACTCTTCAGGAATGTTGCTTCCCCAGAATCAGCATTCTTGGGTCGTAATTTCTGTCGAATTTCAGGAAACCTTATCGCTAAGATGAGCAGCGAGGCTTCGGTGTGGCTGTGCTGCTACTTACGAGTCAAGCCCCGAAATTGTTTTACGAGCCCCGGCCGACAAAACTTGAATTGACCTCTTACAGCAGTTCCAACTTCCAAGGCCAACAACGCAGCCAACCCGGGCCAGCTTGCGTTCGTTCTTGCTTTGGACACTTCCGCCCGGGGCAGTCTCCCGGAGTGCTTCGTTCGTTCATGCGCCGCGCTATCTGACGCTACTTGACACCTCAACTGACGCCATGTTTTCTTGGGCATTGCAAAGATCGGATGACTGCCGCTTTGGGATCAGTCAGTTGAGCCAACTGGGAAATGCGTCGAAACCGTTCATTGACTGGACGGGTCGCCCTCCCCAGCCTTGCCAACACATCAAGCAAAGACGAGAAACATTCCACATTCCACACAAGCAAGACCACTCCGTCGCTTGAGAAGTTGATTGCGGGAGCCGGGCAACGGCAATATCCCCCGCGTCACATCACGTTCCTGCTGTCCGTTTCCCGCACGGCGCACGGGGGTCATCCAGTCACCTCCCTTGCTCGGCCGGTACGGTATTGATACGCCACACCAGGATCAATCACCAAAAAGTGCGCCATTGTCAGATCCCAAATCAAGCTCACCGACGATCACCGACCCCCGTCGAACCCCCACATCATTGACGCCCTTTACTTCGGCGTCTTATCATTCAAGTGCGGCACGCCACACTTTGCCCAAGGCTTGACGGCCGTCGAAAGACATGTCCCTTACTTCTGTAGCGAGTTTACTTTAGAGAGAAGTGAGACTTCCAGACGGCGCTTCAGCTCACCGATACCGGCATCAAACCACCGCTCTGTGCCGCCCTAAAACACGTTTGATTAAACATGACTCCGACACTACCAAACAACGCATTCACGCTCCAGCTGCCTCTGCATATGCCCCGTCGCCCCGTCGTTCTGCAGGAAACCATGAGCCGGGGAACTGCTTAAGCTTCGAACTCACTTCCAGCTTAACTTAGCCAAGCAGCAAACCCCGCCCAGCTCGGTCGGTGAGACTTCACGACAACCTCACCGTCTCCAGCCTCTGTCAGCTTCCTTGGTCTTTGCGTCCGAGCACCCACGACAGCACAACCGCACACGTGCCCAGTTTCTGCTTTTTTCTGCCACGCGCGCTCCCTGCGATGCTACCACTCGTCTGCAAGCCACCTGCAGCGCGAGCAGTTCTCGTGATAATCAGTAACTACGGGCCATTGTCATTGGTCGGTGAATGATTGAGCTGCGGCCGCTAAACCGCCCTAGATGCATCTGACACACACCGCTCAGCGGGACTTTTTGTTGAGACCACTTAGAACTGGTTTTCACCGGGCGGGGTGGTGCTGCCAGCCGTCTCGGTGCCTGTCTCGCCCTCGAATCACTTGCCGGGAACTGCTCGCACCGTCCGGGGCCAACCGTCCCTGCCTGGGCCCGAAAGCCCTGAAATGGTGCCGCGAGAAGACAGCGGGATGCCCTGCCGGGCACACCCGCGGCCGGCCGGCGAAGCAGGGATGAGCGACCCTTCCCCGCGTTTCTAGCTCCACTTTCGTCCGCTCCTCGCCGGGCTCAGTCGGCTTCAATCGTTTATCCGACGGACCCCCCGTCGCTTGACACAGTCGCAGGGTGGCGCCGTTGATCTTGGCCCCAGATCTGGTTGCTGGTGAACCTCTTGTTTTGGAGATCCTTTCGAAAGACAACTAGACGCGGCGGCAATCGCGGACACTGTGCCGCTGATCTCGTATTTGGAACCATTTGCCTCAGGACCCTTTGACCATCTCTCAAAACAAAGAGATCTACTGTCCGATTTCCACGGGCGAGATACACGTAAGTGGCGTTGCAAATCCAGACGACATGAAGACTCTGATGTTCCATCCGAAAGGCTGACTTCATCCTCGCGTTGGCGTCATGGAGAATCGACTAGATGATGCCCGTGGGGCTTGCGAGAGATACCTTTGAAGGTCGTGATACCATTCTTGACTTGTCTCAAGCTCAACGGTAAACATCGGTGCCATCTTCGCTGTTGCCAACAGCAGATTCGTTTGTTGTTGATTGATGGCGGACATTGACGTTTACTGAGTGGGCATTAGTCTTTATGGCGAGGCTGATGAACACAACACAACGCAAAAAAACGGAAATCAACAGATGCCTACCGGAAGGCTCTCCAAAGTAGTTTGTGGGATGTTAAAGATATGTCTCTTTGATATGGTGACAAGCATCGCGACCATCATTGCGACATTTATGTGGTGCCACGTCAAGTGGACTCTCGAAATCCAGCGAAGTTTGGATTATCGATGATGTCGAGAGAAAGCTTGTCTACCTGGTTACAGGATACAAGTGGGCTTCAAAAGTACATCTTGTTTGACCATCTTGCTGTTGTGAGACCGCAACCTGACGATTTTGCCATCATCAACACGACTTCTTCATACCATTTTGAGAGGGCCGACCTTCCGCTCTGGCCAGGGGCCTAAGTCGCACATCAATGGAGGACGACTCTTGAATGCCACCGTCAGTGCCATGGAAATGGATATTGATGAAGAGGGGTCGTTACACATTGTCGCACAGAAGCGCTGACAGCTCATCAGGTTACATGTCTGGCGGTACAACTCCAACCTTGTGTCCAACCTGGCTTCTCAGTGCGTTGTCTCCCTCGAGGCAACGTTGACAGCAGGGCGGGCTTATTCCCCGCCACGGCGTGCTACGAGGCACGACTGTAGATAAGATGTCGTGCCTGGCAAACCCTTTTGACCGGATATAGGCTGAGCAGGATGACGGGGACACAGACTTTAGATGAATACGGCCTGTACCACGGGTGAAAGGAAACCCCTTTCTTGAGCATGGAGCAGCTGGTTTTGCGTCCTTCTGAAAGTTGACGGCAACATTGTCGTCACTGTGGCATTCAACCTGTCCCTCCTGACACGGCCCCGGGGTTGAGCAAAGAGACGAGCAAGTACCACACTTGGTCGTGAAGCCAGCCTCATCAACTGACGACACCTGGGGCATACACTTGATCTCAGACGGATTACATGTTGTTGAGTGGAAGTTGAACTTCTGAGCCAGCATCGGCTGCTACCAAACCAGGGCGTATTCGAACAATATGTTGATTGTCACCATACGAGGCTACCACCCGAGGTTTCACTGGACAGGGCTGCGGCCGATACGGATTGCAACAGCAGTATTCCCTAAAGATAAGCATCCTGGCGAACATCGTCTATTGACTCTCGGGACATGAAGTAAGATTCAACGCAGCTTCAAGAAATTGGCGGCGACCTTTGGGACCTCAATATGCAGCGGATAAGCTTGCAAAAGCAAGTAATCGTCGCGACGCACGAGGACAATGACGCCCGCCGCGCGCCTTGCAGTATCTTATCTTGAATGTCACCTCATTTGAGACAGCATGAGCAAGAACGCCATGCAGCACCGTTGGAAATTGCACGCCTGCAGCTATCGGCGGGTTCGACAATGCGCCGACGCACGCATGTGAGATGCAAAAAAGGAAATTCCACGAATCTTTCTCTCGGCGGCTGCTTATCGCCACACAACGCGTCAAGCCTCATCTCGGAAAGACATGGAGTGGATGTTCCCCCGCGCCGCCGCCGCATCGGCGCGTGGTGAGAGACTATCAATTGTGACCAGACTGCGTACGGGAAATGACGCTCGTCGCTCATATCGTGCCGCGAAAAACGTTATCAACGCCGAAATGAGGCATTGGCCAAGGGTCCCTTTCGTATTTCTTTTGTTTTTGCCAGCGCGGGATGTGTGTGATATTGGCTGGAGCAACGCAACCCCAGTGCCATCACAGAGCCCACGCCGGGGTCTGGGTTTGGTGTGGCTGATTTCCCGTGCGATCCTGCAGGTGTTCGCCCAGGTTTGTCTCCAGCTTGGGTCCAGCCCCCAAACCCAAGCGAGGAGCCGTGAATCCCGTCGCTTATCTCTGGGTGGCTTGTTCGAGGCTGGATTATCTGCGAGCACGGGCTTTTGCGCGACGTGGCTGTCGGTGTGTATTTGCTGGTCCTGCAGCCTGCCTCCCGCCGTTGACGGCCCCGCGATAAAACGGGTGGCAGAAGTCTACGGGAAAAGACTGGAGGCGAGATGAACGCAATTCTGCGGTTAGGCTTGCACTTCGCGGTTCCGGTTGGCGAGTCAGTTTTCCCGAATGACATGAACACATGGGGAAAGGTGAATTTAACTCAAAAAGCTTGAACAGGAAAATGTCATCAACTTTAAAATCGCAGCCACGGCGGGCTGGTTGCTGGGTTCGACACGACTCGGATCCGAGAGATTTGCGATCCACTCGTACCCGGGATGAAGACAGCAGCACTTCCCAAGTGGTTTGGATCTTCTGAAGGATGAAGCTTGCGGATAGGGAAAGAAGGATCAGCAGTCACCAAGAGAGGCGCCGAGAGCACAGACTGCGACTAGACGCGGCCCTTCTCTGCACAGACTGCCAGCGGTGTAGAATGTGATGATGGCCAAGGTAGCTATCACGGGCGACAACACGGCGAGGTTGGCGATAGAGCGCTTGTCCCGGCCTGCTAGCCCCGGAGCACGTCCGACGAGAAGACACTCGGCGGCGGCGCATGTCGTCATTTTGCGTCTGTCTGGGGTTTGCTTCAAAACGCGCTGGCCTGATTAGGAAGACGCGAGAGGTTTAGCAAAGGGCTGATGGAGATTTGCGGTTTGACAGGAGGTGCCAATGCTTGAGGAGCGTGCCGTTGCCGAAGGCACATGGCTAACAACGCCGCTTGGCTGCTAGCGAATCGAGATGTTGGTAATTGGGACCAGCAGGGATATCGGGTCGTGATTGGAGCAGCAGAAAAGGGCCGCCGGCGGCTTTTCTGTTAGAGCCAATGGGTCTCCCGAAGACCGGTCTGGAATCCGCGTTGGGGGAGATGGGGTTTGTTCAAAAACTTGTTTTTCTGAGATGATGGTCTTCTTGGGAGGGTCGGTTGGAGGGGGGGCATCGTAAAGTGCCGTGTTCTCCGAACGAAGACGGCCCGGGGGAGGGAGTTCACCGCGCTGGATGGTGCGCCACTGTTCTGTGGCTCTTCATCTGCTTCTTGGGCGCTTATTGGGTTGTGTTTCTTGGGGGCTGCGGCGTCGTCGTGGAGAGGGGAGGCGCAGAAGCCACGCGGCGGTACGGCTGCGACGTCGTGTTGGCTGGCGCCAGCGAGGGTGGTTCGGGCCAGGCGGCGGTGTTGGCTTTTTGCTTGCCATTTTGTTTTACTGGTTGGCTGCAGGTTGTCCGGATTGTCCACTGCGCTGGGGCGATTTGGATTCCGAGGTGGTATTCCCTTTCGACGATGGGCTCTGACTATGGACATGGGGGCGAGGGGTTATGTCTTCTCTGGGCACTGACTGACTGAGTGGTCCGCATCGAGATTCATCGTCACTTGGAATTACTCAAACGGCTCTTCTTCACGGGAAACCCGGCGCAGCGGTGTGAGGTGAGAGAAAGCTCTCGGGATATTTTTCACCTCTCGGTGGAGGCACGAGGACCGAGCGACCGCGAGACGATTCAAGCTTAAGGTAATTGGCGAGGGTTGCGCCCCGGTTTAATCGGTGGAGATTTTGATGGCAGGAACACCGAGTGTTCGCGGAGGTTGCTGCGTTATGACGATGGTTGGGAGGTTCTATTGGAACTTTTCCATCCACTTTTATGTTGGATAGCGGTTTTTATTTTTCTTCTTCGTTCGGGTCGAGATGTGGGTTTTGATGCACATTGGATGGGATGGACGGGCACTAACGATGTAGCTACTAACTAGACGATTAGGAATTTTGGGGAACTGGATATCCGGACGGGATTGGCGTCGTCACTTTTGGCGGCATATTCAGCTTGGGACTACAACATATAGACAGACGGCGCTAGGATGGGAAAGAAGAGCCGGGCCTTGGTGTGTCGCGTGAGGCTCGGGCGAGATGGAGGAGCCGGGTTCTGCGGAGAAAGGTGAGACGGGGAGCTTTTTTGATCCAGAGACGCCGCATGGTTGGATGATGGATAATGATGATGAGAGATATGGAGATGGAGGATGAGTGAGACACGGCGCTGACGGCCCCACGGCCACATGTCTCTTGTGTGTGGAGTGCCCTCTCTTTCTTTCTTGTGCCGCTGCTGGCTGCGTTCTTCTCTGCTCCAAAGCTTTTGTTCTGGTGTAAGCCAAGGCCCGCCGGGATGGGGATGGACTGCGCGGACGAACCGACTTGGCTTTGGGGGATGGCGTGTGAGTGGTTGCATGCGTTTGGGTCTGTTGGCGACCGAGTCTTGGGGTGAGCCGGTTCGAGCGTGAGATGGAGGGTGGTCGGTGAGAGGCAGAGCAGTGGACTTGCGCTGGTTGGAGGCGGGCTGGAGGCGGGAGGGCTAGAATGAAGCTTGGGAGCGTCACCGTGGGTTTGGGTTTCTGGGGTCCAATGCGGTTCTGACGGGTAAATGGGCGGGCGGCGTGGCTCTGGCTTGCGTTTTGGTGTCCGTCGCTCTCTGACTGGAGTGTGAGTTGGGATGGCGTCTCTATCTCTCTCTCTTCGGTGGTGGTGGTGGTGGGCTGGGGTAGTGCAGGATTTGCGGGAGCTCGGTCTTGTGATCTCGGGGGGGATTTCTGACAAGACTAAGGCAGACAACGAGGATGGGTGTTGTCTAATCGTGATATTAGTCGCAACCTTTTTCCTTCTGCTGGCTACTGCGTACGACGACGAGGCCAATCTCTTCAACATCCCCGCGATACCTAACGTGAGAAACAACATCTCTTGTGTGTCTCTCTCATTTGAATAGCCTTTCTACCTGACTCTTACAACTCCGTTCAATCTCCGCGCACCACGCGAACACCACCACGGAGGCAGACCCGGAGCACGGCAACGGGGCAAAACGGAAAACGTCACTGTCGCATACGATACGGATCCTCCTCTTGGTTTTCTTTTCTTTTCTCACTGCTTTGCCGTTGCCGTTCTGCTACAAACCCCTGAGTTAATTTCTGGGGCCCGAAGGAACTGCATCATCCTTACGGTGCCTTACGGGGCCGCAGTCACACTCTGAACCCAGTTTTTCGGACGCTGGTTTTTTTCTTTTTGGCGGTTTTTTTTTTTCTTACCCCTGCGGCAGGATAGGACGCCGAGCAAACACGCCGGCCCCTGACGATAACGGGACAGACGCTGGGTTTGTTTTCCTCAAGAGAGTTTGTGTGTCTTTTCTTTTTTTTTTTTTTTTTCGGCGGCGGTGGCTTTTGATGGGAGATTGTGTGTTGATGTTGGATGATACCAAAACATCCTCTGCTATCTTGTCGAGATATCTACTGCTGCCGCTTGCGAGGAACCGGGACCCGAGGAGATGGAGGCCGCGGCGAGAGAATTGTAGACCCGTCCAGAGTAGCTTATTAGACGATACCCAGAGAAAGTGGAGGATACAGAGGGGGGACTGACTGATCACGATCCGAGGTTTCCTTTGCGCCGAAGGAGGCAACTTACGGAGCACTCGAGAGGGCCATTTGTTGTTATTACTCGACGGCATCCTCCTCCTCTTGGGACCGGTCCACATCCCAGGAACTGCGGTCTACCACACCCCCGACGCCGACATCATCTCCAGACGACACACACGCGCACACGCACACGTTTCCCGGGTGCGCCCCATCGTCTATCTGCCTCCCCTTCCCCCCCACGACGACGAACCGTCCAGGGGACAGGCTTGTTGCCGCGCACCTGTCAACGTCTCGAGTTTTGTTTTAGTTTGGCTGGTCTTTCATCTATCTGGCATTTGCTGCCATCTTTTCCCCTTTCATCGTTCCCTCCTCGATATTTGGGAAAAGGCCCATTCTGCTTGCCTTCTTACTCCTTTCCTCCATCTCTCCATCCCATCTCATCCACCCTCTCTCACTCTCTCTCCACAAAGCCAGGCCGGGTGCGCTTACATACTAGTCTGCCGCTACTCGCCCGCGCAAAAAGAAGGAGGAACAAGGAACAAGGAACGGCACGAACGAAGACACACACGACCGGATCCACCGCCGACTGCGACTGACCGACCCGACGGACGACCCAAAGGGGACTCGTATTTGAAAGGAAAGCTGGCCCGCACCACCCACGCCGTCTCCGGCGTCTATCGAGTCTAGCTCTTGCGGCAGTGAGCAGCAGCAGCAGCATCTGGGCGTGTTTACTTTTGACGGCCTCTTTGTTGCTTCGAGTGCGCCCTGTGGAGTGGCAGTTACATCGACACGTTTTCTGACGCAGCAGCAGCAACCGGGCTTTCTGTCTATCAGTGCGTATCTCTCTCTCTCTCTCTCTCTCTCTATCTCTCTGTTTCCCTATTCTGCGTTTTTGCGTGTCAGGTCCCTTGTCGTTTTGGGTGGTGGTGGCATGTCTATCTCCTTTGATCGAGGTGGTAGTGACATTACATCCGTATATGCCCCCCCCATGCTCCCTTTCTTTTCCTTTTCGTTTGGTACCCTGGCGGGATCGTCCCAAGTTTAGCCCGTTCTCTGTATCCGTATCTTGTGTTGCGACCTTGCGAGGAGCTTATCTCTGGCGGCGGGATAGAGCACACACACGCCTACCTGGTCAGTGCCGGTGGGCTTGTAGGTTGCGAGTAAGAGCAGACGACGTGGTGTCTGTTAATTCCACTTCCAGCTGTCTCTCTCTCTCTCTCTGCTCTGGCTGGGGGTTCTGCAGATGGTCCACGATCTGCATCCGACCTGAGCTGGCGCCGCAGTGTAGGTGGTGTTCGAAGCTGGGCCAGGCCTTGTTGGACGGCGTCTGCTCAACCCGCATGCGCTATCTCCATTTCCATTCACAACCTTGTCCCTCATCACCCGCTGTCCGATGTCTGTTCAGCTCACCTAATTATCTGCACACCCATCCACCCACCCACCACGCTACCACACGCCCCCCGTTTAGTTGTGCTTTTTCTTGCTTTCGGATATATCACGACTCGACCTCCAGTCTTTCTTCCCCTGACACTTTCCTTCACGGAGGCGCAGGCGTTGCAGACAGCATTTTTTCGACTGAGCTTTTGTTTCGTGATTTTGTTTCTGTCGCTCCTTCGTCTGTTGTTCGGAGGAAAGCCATAGTCGAAACCGCACACTCACACCCCCCGCTTGAGGTACAGCTTACACACCGCGCGGATGCTACCACGAGGCCCTCGCCGGCAATCCTACTTGTTTCGCGGCCTACGTCACAGCTCCCGACCCTGCAGCTGAAGAATAGCGGCGCACCGACCGACCGACAGCGCCAAGGGGACAGAAGGGAAAAAGAAGAAGAAGAGAAGAGGTCCACCGCCTATTTCGGACACGAGGGGAATCGAAGCAGATGCGAATTGCCAAACGGGCGGACGGGACGACAGCAGCAACGGAAGAAGAAAAAATAGGAG